TTTCAGCACACAGGAGTTCTTTCTAAGCTTTCTTTGATTATATTTGGTATTGATCACTGATGCCTAATGACACAATATTACCCTGGTCATACTAGTAAAACTAATTAGCCATCTCAACTCCCTGGGGAGTATACTGTATAAAACTATTTATTCATGTAAGAGCCCAGGGTCCTGAACATGGAAATTGCCAAAAAATCCCCTGCAAAACAAAACAAAAATTCAAGAAAATTTATAACACGCAGATCAACATTACGGATCAACTGTCATATAAGATCAATAATAATTTTAAAATTTACACAGTAAAAATTACAAAAGTTCATAGTTTATTTATTGTACGTTCATTGTCATCTTCATCAAAGTCCAAGTCAGTGTCAGTGTCATCATCAAACAAAATCCCTTCAGCTTTAGCAATGTTTTCGTCTTTGACCGATGCATCTGCTTTACTGATTGGCTAAGAATGAGATTACTACTAGTGTTTCATCATAGAGGTCAATCATGGTGAAAGTCCCGGCAGTTGGAATATCTCACTGTATGTATATCGCGGTGGGCTTGAAATAGAATTTTTTTGATGAAAGATAGATGGTAAAAATGTTGTAACACTACGTTAAGATCGCATTATGACCATGGCAACATGACGTTAAGGCGTGTTAGCCTTGTGTTGACGCAAGCAGCTCATTAGCTTTGTTTGCATGCAAATGAGGAGAACAATGGAACTGAACACGTCAGACACAAATATATCCAAACAAAAAAACCTGGATGGTTCAGTAACAAGTTGCGTTTGAAAATAAACTTCAAAATGTCATGCTTCAAATCATAAGTTTTGTAAATTGTACTTGCAATCACAGTATTAATTTTAGTAACTGTTGAGGTGGTATCATCTCTAGTTGCGAGAAAGTTATTTGAATAACCACTAATTCCCGGCATTGATTTTGGCGTGGATTCGGGGAAAAAACATACATGTTCCATCTTTAAAGAAAAGCTATTATAGTTATTAATAGTGGGCAGTGTGTGTATTTTCTTGTCCTAATTTTCATTATGTACATGTATGTTGAATATTTGCATTGATTGTGGGTCGAGAGAAACAAACTGTTACGCAAAATATATGTGTGTCTGTCATTTTTGACTCCCATGTGCGAAGCACAAAATGGGAGTCTCTGCAGTTAGTGTGTCTGTACAAAGTGTATGTGTGTGTGTACGTGTGTGTGTGTGTGTGTGTATGTGTGTCTGACTGTTCCACTGCTATCTCAAGAACCATACATCGGTTTTTGATGAAACTTGGTGCATAGATGCTCTGG